CCCCCCCGCCGTGGCCATGGCCGTGGAAAAGAAAGAGCCACTCGGACTGGAAAGAGCATTCAGCAGCGAAGCGCTCGTCATGGGTCAAAAGCTCCCAAGAAAAGGATCCTTCGTCTTCCTTTCGGTGTTTTATAGTGTTTTGAATGGTGTTTGTTGTCAAAGAGAACGGTTGCTGTCTATCTTCGAACAACGATCCTTCGTTGATCGGACCGGTCCGGAGGGGTCGAATTTTATCTCGTTTGGTCGAAGTAGGGCTGTTCGGAGGGAGCGTATTTGGGAAGGATTGGATGTGAAAAACGCCACGTGTTGATTAAAGCAGAGTCATTCCCCCCACACACACCTTCCACATGTCTTGGACCTGGCCAGTGGCGGATCACACAACCATGGTCACTGACTGTTTGAGTTTTTCAGTGAGGCAGAACGTGGCCAACGGCAATGGAGCCAAAAAATAGCACTCGGTTGATCTTCGTAACAAAGCAAGACTCTTCAAAACCGGAACAGTACCCGATGATTGAGCAGGCGTGTGCTGGGCGCGTGCTGGGAATACATGACTTACAGCCATCTACCTCAAAACCAGTACTGGCCAGCATGAATCAGGACATCTCAGGACATCTCCCAACGTGGTCGTTGGACCACCCTTACAAGTCTGGAGATCTCGAAAAGAACACCGTGGTTCATTGGATGCTTGTTCTACCGGTGTAATACCGTTCCCCGAAGCATGGAACCCCCACTTCGGCTCTGGGGACGCGTCACCTGAGGCCTGGAGGTCAGTCTCGGCGCTTTCGTCCCACGAGGCGCGGACGCAGCGAATGAGCCCCTTTCTTCGGTTCGCGTCCGATCGGGAACGGTTCGAGGAAAGCGATGCCCTTGTGACGTTCGTAGCTTTCGTGCTTGGAGCCTCGCCATGTTGCCTTGGGATCGTGTTCCGAATTGGGATCGTTTCTGCTCCCCAAAGCTTGCTGCTTGTGACCTTAGAAGGGAGGCGAGAAGGGAGGGGCCGTTCCCTTCTGGACCAATAGCTGTTTTGTTCATGCAAGTTCACAGAATTTACATTGGAAGCCAACTCTGAGAGCTATCATTGCGACCAGTATGGTTCTGTCTCAAAACAGGGGGAACCTCCCAAGCACTAAGTGTTCATATGTGTTCATCAACTTTCTCCTCCAGATGTTTTGAAGGTCTTGAAACAGAGTGTTGCTAGCTCATGACGTCTTGCTAGCTGCCCCTAAGACGGTGAGACAAACACCGGTGAAGTCAGAAAACGAGAGGTGCTACTTGCGGGTGCAGTTGACGTTCGCTGCGCAGGACAGGAGCCTAGAGAGAAGCGCACATACAGGTAGATATGGATGGATGAAGAGGGACCAGATGAACTATCTGCACTGTCCCATGCGTCCTTGCTTGCTTGAGGTTAAAGTGCCATCAGGTTTTATATCCCAGATAACAAAAGCAAACAAGTGCTCCACTCTAAGTTTCCCTGTTTTGATTTACCTTATATAGGATGTTCTTCTTGTTCATCAACAACTAGACTAGCAGTGTGTCTTCAGTTTAGGAAAAGATTCCTTCCGGCAGCCTCGTCAGTCGTCAGGAGCCGATGCCTGCAATGCCCACTAGCCTGGTGCTGGAAACAACCATTCAAGAGGCACCTGGGGGCTTTCGGGTCCAACCAACATGTGGCAGTTCGGTAGCAAAGCTCCTTCGCGTTTAGGTGTTCCTCAAAGCGCAGATGGCAAGCATAGCGGCATTCTAGTAGCTTCTAGTAGCTTCTTGTTACTAGTAGGGATGGCCTCCAACCGATTAGCGATGGCCTCCACCTAATAGTTTCTTGCTCCTAGTAGCCATTGTTCAACAATTGCCTAGATCTTTTGCAAGGATGTACACCCTTGTTCTTGAGGTTAGAGCACAAGCATGGCGCCAGCAGGTTGATTGAAACTAAAGAGGCAAGCGCCTGCTTCATACCAAATTGGGCCTTGATTAACGAAAAACACTTGCCAGAAGTGTGGCTTCCGTGGGATTGAAGTACGGTCCTCCATCTGAAGTATGTGTCTGCTTTGAAAAGCAAACCGAGGGTAATTGCGGGCACAGCCGGCACAGCCCTCTAACAGCTTGAAATGGACTTCCCCCCATGAACACCTGTGGTTTTCTGGCGACTTGTCACCAGGCCATGCAGAGCTTCTTCGGGAGCTGTGGTGACTGGGCTTTTGGCACCCGAGGACCGGTTCCAACGGAGCAGCGCTTTTTGTGCGGCGACGTCGGTGCGGTGAATGGATCGGTCGATGGAGACATCGGGGTCAACTGACTGCGACTCGCAGGGAATGGATCCTGAGGTATCTACAGGGGTGGTTCATTCCCTTATTCCCTACGAGTCGCACCAGTCGAGCTTGTCAGCTCCAATTGACCTGACTGGGTCACCACGTCAGAACTCTCGGGTGACCACGTCAGCTCCGGCGCAGCTCGGGTCGTGACACAGACGAAGACGGTCTTGTTCACACACTCTCTGCGCGGTCCGATCCCCTCATGTGACCAACTCCGTGTATGTGTGATTCCAGCTAGAAGCGATGGCAACCTAAGAGCAATGGCCTCCAAGCTCTTAATAGCGATGGCCTCCAACCTAGAAGCTTCTTGTTACTAGTAGTAAGAATGCTCTTAGTAGCGATGCCAGGAGCCCCTAGTAGCGTCCTTGCTCCTAGTAGCGATGCCAGGAGCCCCTAGTAGCGTCCTTGCTCCTAGTAGGAAGGCCAGGAGCCCCTAGTAGCTTCTTGTTACTAGTAGTAATGGCCTCCAGATTCTTGGAAGCTAAGGTTCCAGCTTGTGCCAGTGGTCACTACTCTCAGCGCCGAACGATGCTCGGCTGTTCCGAGTGCCGCATGAGCGCGTGCGGTGCATCACGGTGCTAAGCACTGACCCTGGAGGACAAGCACTGTTGAGAGAGAGAAAAATTGAAGCAATTTAAGTTCGTTGGCTTATGCGAAATTTGCAAAGACTCATGTCTTAGAGCCTTGGCCACAGTTTGCTCTCAAGCCGATCCAAAAAGCACTTTTTGAGTTTGGTGCAAGGCCACAAAAGACTTTGTTTTGAAACGCTGATCTATTAGCGTTTATTAGTATATAAAACGAAGTTCTATTAGTGTCTATTGAACCTTCAAGAATCTCAACCCTACAATGGACGGTTCCCAATGGGTAGTATATTGCAAGTATCTCGAAGATCTACGTACCCTGGCTTTTCCCCTTACAATCCGAAGGCAAGAACTTGGGACCACACCCGGAACACAGGATACTAGATTGAAAATGTCCTCTGAAGTAGGACAATCTACATGACCGCATCGCGACTTAAGCTACGCAAGACATAGTTAATGTTGTTTTTTAAGGATTTGCGCTTGCTTCATGCTCTTGGCAGATGGAGGATTGCAGCTTAAGACTTCAGCTTCAGGGCTCTTGTATTTCTTCAAACTGTCCAATTCTCCAGGAGCCCCTAGTAGCGTCCTTGTTACTACTAGTAAGGCACTTGTTACTAGAAGCGATGCACTTGTTCCTAATAGCGATGCCAGGCCAAGCTTTGGATCGGTGCTACATCTTCGTTGCGCTGTTTCCACCGAGGACTCCGGCGAGTTCCTCCTCCGCTGTGCGCCCAACGCCCTGCCGGAGCTCCGTGCCGCTTTGACGCTGCTGACCCGCTGTGGCGGCCGGCGCTGCCGTGCCGACGTGCGGGCAGTGGTGCCGCGGTGACAGTATGCGGGGTGGTATCTTTTTTCGGTGGGAGCAATTGGTTCATGCTCTGAGTCATGCCTATGACGGTCATTGTCCGGTTTCAGGAGACTGGCCAGTGTGTTTTGCATTCGGAGGTTCATGAGCAAATGGGTCTTCTTTTCGTGGGAGTGCAATAACGCCACTAGATGTAATTTCTTGGCCGAAGAAGGCATGTTCATCACCCTCCAAGGCACCTTCACTGGCGGCGCTTGCTTGTGAAAGATGACAGGTTCCCAACGGCTTGCTTCGAGAGATGAAAGCCATGAAGTTTTAAGGTCAAAACTCTGGAGTTTCGAGGTCCCTGCAGGAACCGCAGCGACCAGTGTCATCGCGTTTTTGGGCGAAGCATGTTTTTTAGGGCCAAATGCATGGAATCTCATGCTTGTGATGTTTACTTGAGGATGAATTGCAATGACTGATTCGCAGATTCGCTGCTCTATTTCCCGAGTGTGTCAGCTGATGCTGCCTAAGCGGTCGAGACATGTCTTCGGGATCTTGGGCGATCTCAGTGCCAAAGGTGCACCTGGCCACAGAGGCTTGAGTGAAAAAGAAGGTCCTTGGATGCTTCTCAACTCTATGTGCGATATTTCAGATTCGATTGGGTGGAAGCTACTCAGTTTGTTTGTTGTTCGATTCATTTGCTTATGTTTGGGTCGTGATCTCCGGGGACTTTCTGTGGATTGACGACTTGCTCTCGCAGCGAATGGAGGCACCTACCAATCCAATGGCACTGGTCGTGATTGGCTCGGGGACCCATGCAACCGGCCTGCGGTGGATCACGCATCCGGCATGGTGCTTGTTCTGTCGTGCTTGAAACACGAGGGGTTGCTGGCAGCAAAGATTTGAGGATTCAAAGGAATGACTCTTGCTGTTGACTCATCTGCATGGAATGACCGTGGAATGGCCAAAAGAACGACCGTCCGAGGTTCTTCGTCGGCGACTTCGAGTACCGCCACGGCCGCCGCACGCCGCCTCCCAACACCTTTGGCCAACGGCCTGAGCCGCCACCCATGCAGCTGGGGAGCTCAGGAGTAGCGTCCTCTTGCTCCGTTCGAGTCGCGATGCCAGGAGCCCCGTTCGTAGCTTCTTGTTACTAGTAGCAAGAACCAACGAAAACATGAAAAGCATTGAAAAGTCCTGGCGTTGTTGGACCAGCATTCTTGGGATGGCGAATGAGAACTCTTTGTTGGGACGTTCTTGTTCAACTCGACTCTAGCTCAATGTGCCTGTGGCCGAAAAGATTTGGTTGCTAACGCATGCCATGGCATACCCTTTGCTACTAGTAACAAGAAGCTACGAACGGGGCTCCTGGCATCGCTACGAACGGAGCAAGAGAACGCGAACCGAACGGGGCTCCTGGCCTTGCCAACGCGTCCAGAGCTCCGGAGTCTGCCAGGCCCCGGGGTCCACCCGTGGAGATCGAGTCGGGGCGGCAAAAGCTCCTGGGTCGCCAGAGCTCCCAGGCGCAGCCGGGAGAAGCGGAGAGGCGGATTCGGTGACAGCACAGCGAAAGCTTGGGATGTTCCAAGACCAAAGTCAGAAGAGGTGCTTCTACTCGTGAGAAATCAGAGAAGTTTCGGACCAGCTGTGTTTTCCCCGGTGTTTTCCACCAAACCCTTTGGGCCCAGACTCACCGTCCATCCGGGCACAGTTGACCTCGGCACTTGGTGTAAACAGGCGGAGAAGTGGCTTCGGCGCTCTCAGGGCTTGGCGAGCTCGCAGGCAGCGCCCCAGGGAGCACCTCGCTTTGAAGTGGAAAAGATGTACCACACAAAGTGGAAAATGTGAAAAGGACCCAAAAGGGTTGTATTTGGCGTTTTCGGTGGGAAAACCTCGAAGCGACCAACAATGGCTCCTCCAGCAACTCATATGAGCCCATGTAATTCACCATGTGAGTTGTGTGTGAAGTTTCTAGTAGCAAGCGCATCGCTACGTTCGTAGCTTCTTCTAGGAGCCCCTAGTAGCTTCTTGTTACTACTAGTAAGGCACCTGTTACTACTAGCGTGGCACTTGTTACTAGTAGCTTCTTCTTACTAGTAGTAATCGCACTTGTTACTAGTAGCGATGCACTTGCTACGTTCGTAGCAATCGCTCGCAGGGCTTGAGCACCACCGCCTCGGAGCCTTCCTTGTCGTCGGATGTCTCAGCGTGGAGGACAAAAGTGGTGATTTTCTGACTGGTCTGGGGTCTGTGGGGAGCGGGAAACGAGTTCGGAATGAGGATGAAAGATATTTTTGATCTTGAGGCTTGATCTTGAGTGTTTGAGATCTTGCATTGTGTTTTCTGAAAAGATGTTCTTCAATGACCCCGATGTTTCCCGTGGAATACCAATCCATTTAGTGCTTTCAAGTGCATTTCGCTGGATGTGTCCATATGTCTCGCGTGTGGGGTAAAACCGGTTTAACCCTGCTTGAAGGTGCTGATTCTGGGGGAGTGCCTTTGTTGCCGTGATGTGTTTCCTTCGCAGAAGCATCAAGTCAAGGAGTTTTAAGTATCGTAGTGAGCTCGCTCCAAGGGTCATGTTCAGAACTCCAAGAAAAACACCTTCAAAAAAA